TTTGACAATAAATTTTCTAGAAAATTTTTTCTTGTTCATGATCCAAAGGCCGCTTTCTCACTATCGTCAGAGTCATCTTTCTAAGTAAATTTTGTACGACATTATTTTCACACTTTTTTCGAAAATTTTAAAGGCGATTACGATAAGTAAGACACTCAACACTAATGATACAATCAATATCTCACTTTGAACATGAATTACAATTAAATACTCCTTCTATTGTTGTAATTTCAAAATATTTAACATCTCTTTCATTAATAAAACACACGAAACAAAATAAGTGCAAAAATATTTATCCAATTTCTAATAAATCTAATGAATCCGCATTGCCGTAGAATCATGTACAATAGACTTCGTTTCCAAAGCGATTTTGAAAACCGCGAATATTATTTGGCAAATTTTGTTATCTACGATTAAATAAAGATTTTAATAATGAAATCAACATATGAATCGTCATCGCAGTAACAATAGCCAGTAAATTTTTTATAATATGGAACCAAATAAAAATCTAAAATTAATCGCTCATAATTTCAAGATTTAACCATTTCGTAATATTTTTATAAAATGAATTGTCTTTAGTTTCAACAATAGTCATATAGTTAATTAACAATTTAACTCTATTTCTATATTATTTGCATGTAATTACATAAAAAATTATGTCGTGAAATTAAAATTTGTTTATTAGTCTCAAATTTGAATTGTCATGTCAGTGAAATAATTTTACATAAAAAATTCTCTCTAATTTGCTCGTTTTTAAAAACTGAAAATAAAACTCGAACATGAATCGGGACATATAACCTTTTTTTTTATATATATAATTTGAAAAAAGTTTAATCACTGTATTAATCACTGTTTTAATCAATGGTATAAGAGAATGTATAATTGAATAGATAAAGGATAAATACACTTCTATCAATATATTATTCGTAGAAATAGTGATATCGGTGTATGAATGAATCGTGATAATACGAGCAGGATAATAAAATGTGTGAATAAAATGTTTTAAATTATGCGATACAGTAGGTGAGAATGTGAGACTAAATCTAGACAAAAATGTAAAGCAACGAAATGAAGTAAAGATTAAAATATGATTTCGAAGTCGAATGATAAGAATTGGAAAGCATAAGAGATATAGAAGGAAAGAGAGCAGCAGGCATAGGAGCTAAGATATTAAAAATAAATGAAAAAAAAAAGACGAAACCAGCGCGATAAAGAGAAAAGTACAAATATATTAGTAAGTTAATGCGAAGTAAAGAAGAATGATGACTAAAAAGCACAAGACAAGATAAAACTAAGAAAAATCTATCTAAATGTGTAGTCAAAATTTATAAAAACAATTGAATAGTCAAGAATGATTTTGTGAAGCAAGTATTATTTATTTATACTCGTAATTTACGTGATAGCTATAAATATATGTTCGATCATTATTAATTGTTCAAGTATTGTTAAATATTATTAATTTAAATGTCCATATGTTTTATTTGATAGATAAATTCCAATGACTAATTAAAGTCTGATGGATTTCTAGACTGCCTGAAAGAAACTGAATGTCAACAATTTTGACCAAATAAAAAATATATTAACATTCAACATTGTAATATTTATAAGGTAGATCTTCTTTGATTGTATAAAAAAAAGAAAGAAAAAATTCGTATGATAAATTTTTTCAATAATATCGGCTGTATTTATTCATAGCGATCAACTATGTTTATGAGGACATATTTGAACAAATTTTCATTTACTTTTTACTTTAGAATAAAAAGTAAAAATATTTGCATATTAATCGCTACATTTTCGTAACAACTAAGGTCTATAGTATAATTTTTAAATGCTAACTTTTTACAAAAATTTTTTATAATAATTCAAGTATTTATAATAAAAAATATTTTTTGGCAAACAAATTATTAAGATTGATAAAAATCTGAACGATTTTGTTAAATTTTTATTATAAACATTGTTTATAATATTTGTTGTGCAGTAAAATAGATCTCAGAAATATTATGCAAAATATATGTAAATTTTGTTAAGGTTCAGGATACAATCTTCGCAATTTAATCTTCAACGAAAAAAATTTTATTTACATAATCGATATTATATCATATGTTGCAGATGTCTGCACATTTCTTCTCAATGAAAGAGATCAATTTTACAAAAATCTTACAATTACGTCACAAGTTACATTGATAAATGAAATTATTTAAATCACCTGAAAATTTCTAATAGTAACATATTGAAAATATGTATATGAATTTACTAAAATTGCAAATGCAATTTTTATTTATCAAAATATTTATTCATAATAAGATACAATTATAACTGTTGAATGGAGGAATTAAAGAAAAAATGTTGGATAAAGTTAAAAAATCTTTTGACCTCTATAATTAGTGAGACAGTTAGAAAAAAATATATATAAATTTTCAGATTAATATAATTTCCTTACGTATAATTAGTACTAACGTTACGAAAAACCTGAAATTATACTCTTCAACTTTCTCATTCATCAGAAAAGTAGAACTTTTTTTTAGCAGAATATATCTTTTAGTGCTCTGAACAAAGGCTTCTTTAATTTCTTCCCCAAAGAACCGTCACTGTAATTCTCCTTTCTAATTGTACACATTTCTATATTTCGAGAAATAAGTGAGGAATACTGATTAAGGTACTTGTCTGTTGTTCATTTATATGAAAACATTCAGAAGTTGTTTCAGTCTAAAAAATTCTAAGAATACTCTGCATCGCTGCTAATGTGTTATGAAGCTACGTGAAATAATTTATATCTTTTAATCTACATTCAGCTTAACATTATTTTGCTAATATAGATATATATATATATATATATATATATATATAAAACAAAAATATATAACAAAAAAAATAAAAAAAATAAAAAAAAAAGCCATTGAAATAATACTAAATTTTGTTTTTACGGCAATAAAACTATTATCCATAATAACACAAATGGTATTATTTATGTGTAGCTACCACTATGATATGAAAATTTATGTTAAAATTCACAAAATAATTGAAACAATAACGCTTTGTTATTACGAATAGTAATAAGAGTATAAACATAATTTTTCACTATTAATTGTTAATATTTTTTGATACTATAAAGTACAATGTAAACGAAAGGTTTTATAACTTTTCATAGTAATAAAAACAATTTATTTTGCGCTTATACGCTCATTTGTTCATAATCTTATAGCCTATATATTTGGGTAAAATAACAATTTCAAGAAAGTTAAAAATACTACAATGCAAATAACAAGCGTATCGTGTCCTAGTAAGTTTAATAAAGTAATAAAAAATATTTAACTGAGTACGTAAGAATAAGTTAAATACATAATTTCAAGCTCCTTTAAAGCCCTTCAATTTTTCAGCACTTTATCCTTTTCTAGAAAACTCTCCTTCAGAAAAGATGATAAAAACCTGCTAATCATATTAGCAATCAAATTGCTTAACTTTAATTAAATGAAATCTAATAAAATATATTAATATGTGTTCCTTATTTGCTTTTGTCATTAATTAAAAAAAAAAATTTTTTTTTTATATAAATATAGCGTAGGTATTTTACATTCAATATATATTTTATATTCTATATATATTTTACGCTACGTTATATCAATTAAATGCAAGTTATAACTTACATGCATATTAAGATATATTCATATTAAAAAATGCATAATTGGCGAAGAAATACACAAATACTAAAAAAGTATTTCTTCGATTAAAAAGCTGCTTTTATATCTGCTTAATTCTAATTTTAAATTTAGAAATTATTGTGTAAAATCATCAAAAAATGATAAAATATCAAATAAGTGTATAAGGGATTCGTACTATTTTTCATATTGATATTATTGGGAAAATAAATTTAGGCTGCTTGGATTTAATTTATTAAGTATAGGTTTTCTACAAATTATCTATAAAAAACCTTATGAATCGGTCAAGTAAAATTTTAAATACATCCCTGTATTCGAAAGGAAAAAAATTAATTTAAACAAAAAAAAAATATATATATATATATATATTTATAATAAAAAACTAGATGTAACTATTTGTAACATCGTCACTCTTAGAAATCACTTCCTTAGTTTTCTCTATTCTCAATTCAATTTACAACATAATTGTATTTAATTTGAACATTTATAAATTCTTTATCTATTAATTAAAACAATCAGAAATTAATTTTCTTGTTCAACACGTTAAATAGTTCCGTCAATAGTGCTAGCAATTTTCAAAAAAATTTTCAATCAAGATTCTTCTAGGAATTTAAGAAAATTTTGTAAGAAATTAAATGAAAATTTAAAGCTTTAATTGTTTCACATATAACATAATGAATATCGGGCTTGGAATATTTTATCATAATTTATAGATTCAAACTAAATAATGAATAGCAACCAACGAGAACTATGTTAATTATATGAGAATAAAGTTATTTCAATGACTTCTAATACATTCAACAGTGTGTATTGTAACTCAATAAATTTTTATAGAAGTGAACAATTATTAATCAAATCTATTCTTTTCGTTCTTAATTTTATAAATTTATAGTAAATAAAAAAAAAACAAATAAAACAATAATAATAACTTGCCTTTTATCAGTATATTCGAATAAGCAGAAATTTCAAATATGCTGAATAAACTTTGAATCTGAACTTTAACGTTGCAAATATAATTATTAGTATAATGACATGAAATATCAATTCTTTTAACAATTTCAATGATTTGTGATATCGAATCCAGAGAAATCGCAAATAATAATAATTTTTATAAATGGCATCTATTATTATATCATAATTGTATCGTTTCTGAAATATTATAAAATGTTATTTTTATTATATATTTTTGTAATTGCGAGTTATATATATTTCGTAAATCTTACTATTGAGAGTAATAATTTTATGAATATTATATATGAGTACGTATATGCTTCAAATTTCAATTCATTTTCAAATATGTTCAAGACTTTTATGAATTTAATCCATCTAACGTATGTAACACCAATGTAATATAATATAGTACAAATCGTATTGATGTAAAGTAAATTCATTATCGATTAATACGCAGAACGTAGTAGTAATGTGATGTCGAGTTAACCTACAAATTTTTGTAAAACAAGGTGATGAAAAACGTGCTCGACAAAATCCACAATTATTACTATAAGTTAATTTATACGTAATATGACTTATAAACGTAAAAAGCATCATAAGGGTGTTTTGCATTTAAAGAAAAGCTGGCGAACAAAAAGAAGAACAAAGGATCTAGACGAGGTGAACAGTGAAATCTAACCTCTATTATGAATGTGCAGAGATGTGTGATATTTATTTGATTTAATTAAACTAAAATTATGGTAATTTTTATTTTAAGATTGATGAAGACTTAAAGGAAGAGAATGCAAAACAATTGATAAACCAAGAGGTTGATTTAGATAAGCCGGGAGCAGCTCAATATTATTGTATTCATTGCGCGTAAGTTCCGTTTTGAAAGTAAATTAATTTTTAGTCGCCTCACATAACTTAGATTACATAATTTTCTGTAACAACGTAATGTGCAATAAAGACATAAATTCATTGTAATTTTATAATTATGTTACAATATATATATATATATATATATAACTATGATATAATCTATAGAAATTGAATAATTTAAAATTACTAATGAAGCTTGTAATACTTAATAATTATTTTCAGCCGCTATTTTATAAATGAAAGAGCTTTGCAAGATCACTTCGCTACAAAAGTTCATAAGAGACGATTAAAAGCACTAGAATTAGAACCCTATACAATAGAAGATTCTGAAAGAGCTTCAGGAAAAGGAAATTTCAAATTGCCTCAGAAACGAAAAATTGAAACGATAGAAACTGATAATGATATTAATAAAGAATCAAAAATTATGAAAGTAACTGATTAATTTTTAAATGACATATTTCTACTGGTTAGAATAAAATCAATTTACACAATTTTTGAATAATAAGGAATCTAAGAAGTATGAATTTCTTAGTATCATACACAAGTAGATGCAATTTGCGCTTAAATATAAATTTACACTTTATAAAGAGTTTTTTGAATAATGAAAAACGCTATTCATCTTCGCTATATATCCCAGGTAACAAAGCTAATAAAGTATTGTCGTTTTTGAGGCCAGATTTAAATTTTGACAACTACTTTGAAGATTTGCAAAAAACTGAAAAAGAACTTAACTTAAGAGGTTACAAGGCTGATTTAGAATATTTGAAGGCCAATTGGCATTCTTATAAGGTTCTTACATTAAAGAAAATTAAATTAGAAAAAGAACTGAAAAAATATTCAAATCAAATATCTATTGTAAAGAACAATAATAACAACAACAACAACAACAATAATAATAATAATAATAATAATAATAATAATGCTACCTCGGGTGATACATCTAATTTGAATGATTTAATAAACAAATGTAAATGTGTGAAAACGGATTTGAAATTAATTAAAGAAAATATATGGAACATTGAAGAAGTTGTAATTCCGGAGCTTCTGAAACTTCCAAATAATATCGACAAAAGGACACCCATAGAATTTCCAGTTATATTAAAGACAGTTGGTCAAAAGCCAGACATTATCGAGGATGCGATCGATCACGTAAGCATCGGTACAGAATTAGGCCTATTGGAGTACAAAAGTGCAATTCAGTATTTTCTGTGTAACGAAGCTGTAGTTTTTGAATGTGGCATCTTATCTATAGCGGGTAGAATTTTAAACGACAGTGGAATTATGCGAGTAGCTGGACCGGACTTTTGTCGAAGTATAGTTATCGAGGGGGCTGGTATAGATCACCAGAGTCCGTTGAATTCATTCATTATAAAAGATTCGGATAACTTAGAAATCAATCGCTTGCACGTAGTTGGAAGTGCCAGCGCTCCTGCCCTTCTTGCTATTTATACAAAAAAAATTATACAAGAAAAGGACTTTCCAGTAAAAATATTTAATACCGGAAGGCAATACGTACCAATAATAAGAGAGTTGGCAACATATGGACTGTTTGCCGTTTGCCAAGCATCAGCGGTTCAAACGCAAACCAACGATGAAAACTATCAAGACGAATTGGAAAACTTAATAAATGTCACATCAAAAATCTATGACGAAATTGGATCACATTACCAAGTTGTTATTAAAACGACGAAAGATCTTGATTTGTCGGAGCGTATGAGAGTTAGTTTTGAAATGTGGTCGTCATATTTAAATTGTTATATCGAAGTCGGTCATATATCAGTGTGCGGCGACTACTTCAGCAAGAGGTTATTGATTGGTTGTAAATCATCGAATAATGTGAAATTTCCAGCGGCCATAACCGGGACCCTATTATCCGTTCCCAAGATATTGGGTTGTTTATTTGAAGAGAATCCAAAGAAATTTGTCGTGCCAGAAAACGTAAAGGGATTTTTTTAATGAAAATTTAGGCACAAATATATTTGTACGTTAAAAAATAAAATTGTAAAATATAATCGAGTGTTTGGTTTTTTTCATTTCATCCCGATGTCTTCCCGCACAATCATGCACTTATATACAATTATAAGCAATTATTCGTCCTAATTTGTCACTGTAGCCAATGTAAAGTCATTCAATTGCATTGATGTAAAGCAAACGACTGTTCCAAAATTTTTCAAATAAGCCATTAATATAATGTAAAATATAAATAGACGCGGGATTTGATTATCCCCGTATTAGCTAAGCCATAAACTTATTCAAAACGGCATCCCCTGGAAAGCCAATTCATTCGCGCTCATCAGCGCCGCATAATTCCATGTCTTATTTCAAGAAAATAATTCCTTAACAATCTTTTCATCGTAAAATCTGAATAATCTCTTTCTAAGCATAAAAAGCAGCAGATATATTAAGAGTGCGTGGAACTGGTGGAAAACAATGGGCAATGGCCGTCGAAACAAGTCGTTGACTTTGAACAATATCGAATTCTCGGCCTTACAAATGAAAAATAAAACCGCCGTGGACGTTTGACGTTGGACACTCGGCGCAACGTTGCAATAAGCCACTCACTCATCGGCCCATAACGTCGCTAATTGCAATATCGCAGCCCATCCTCTTCCTGTGTCCCTCCCCCCTCCCCACCCACCGCCCCCTTTTATTTCTTCTCGTACTGCGATGCATACACGACGGCTGACCCTTTTTCACCAACTGCCGCTTTATTCCGTGAATATGCCCAGACCGTTTGTCTGCGACTTTTAACCGTTAATTACGTCCACCGTATCCATCACCCTTGTTCTTTTTTTTTTTTATTATTTTAATGATTTTTAATGGACAAGATCTTCGTGCTGCGAGTTATGAAAAATCAAATCATCTCATTGCATAATCGATTGTTTGCATTCGACATTTGTTCTCTTATCAATTTCCTCCACCCCACCCCTCTCTCGCTCTCAAGCAATTGATTTGCTACAATGAAATTTACTACAATTTAATACAATTGATGAAAATAAAAGTATGACGATTATATATAATGTTTTTCAGCCTCGGTGGTGGGAATAAAAAAAAAAAATAAAAAAATAAAATAAAAATTAGTTTTTTAATAATAACGATGCTAAAGTTTTAATTATGTAAAATTAGAGTAAAGCAAAAGAATATTTCCGACTGATGTTATTCGTTCAATTTCTTAATTCTGGCTTGAATTTCTTACCTCCTGCAAATCTCATGAAAGCAACATTTTAATTGCATTAATAAACGATCGTTTGCAATTGTTTCCACAACAATGTCAAACAATGAACTTTTGCTTTGATTTTCCAATGCTTAATCAATGCTTGAAGGATATTGCACGAAGGATAATTAATCTGACATATAAAAAATGATAAGGTTTGTTTCGTTTAAATTTCCACGCCCTCGGGTCGTCCTCGGCTTCCTCGGCCACGCGCACTACCGCTGATATTGTTTTTTCTTTTCAATACAGGCAATAGTAATTATAGTTCATAACAATTATTCCTATAATTTCTTATGTAATTAATGTATTCTACAACATTGTGCCTACCAATGCAGCCTTTCTCATTATGTTACAAAATGTGCGTAAAAAAAGAAATTGCGACATTCTCATTAAATACGTTTCAAAAATATCTGTAAAACAATGGATGGCACTCGTCAACGATGTTCTCATATAAAATCGGGATTCTTTTACATTTTACATTTGTTATTATTCGTTATTTTCAGTGACCAATTTTTGCGAAACGCTAGGTTCGTTCGCGCAATAAAAATATAATGCATCTAGAAGAAAAATTATAATTAATGTCCTTTTAATTGTATAATTAAAATTTATAAAATGGCTTTTTCTTTCTATTTTTACTTTCGAGAGTAGTAAGTTCGAATTTATTGCCATTATCTTATAAAAACACATATAAAACCGCCATCGTTCTATTGCTATTGCATATAAAGGCATAAAAATTAAATTAAAAACAACATACTGTGCAGTACTCATTAAACATAATTAAATTCTTTATGAGTATATTTTGATTAACTTTTTTTTTTTTTTAACAATTCATGTAAATGCAATGGTTAACGATCGATGAATATTTATAATTTAAAGATTTTATTTTTTAATGGCTCTTGTCCTATTATTTAATTATAAATGGCATTGATGTTACTAATGGAATGCAATGGAAATTAATTATAATTAGTATACAAAGTTCACTGTTACAAATAATGTACGATATAATTATTGTATTATTTTAATTAAATCTTCATATCGAGTAAATCAACTTGATGGGCTTTTTTTTTTTTTTTTTTTTTTTAATGCTAACGATTTTAGTTGAAATACAAAAATTCCAAATTGATTATTCAAAAAATTATTTTTAATACATTTGAATATCAAAATTATATTCATAGTCTAGGAGCTGATAATAATCCTCCAATGAAATATGTATAAGCAAATACTGAATTGTTACTATCGCATTGAAAAGAAGTACGTTATTAAATTAAATTGCACATATTGTGAAGAAAACATCGGTACCACAGATAATTCTCGTAAGCTTAGAATTGCAAAAAATATCTATGTAGTTGGTTTTTGCTCTTTAGCATGAGTAAGAATACGTGATATCCTTCCAATTTATAAACAAGAATCTATAATTATTACTTTTTACTTCTTTTCAGTATTTTGTGAAAGCAAAAGTTAGGATATTTATTGAAATTGAATTGCTACAAACTGAAGTTCATCTAATTAATTACAAGTAAGACATTCGAACTTAAGTTATTGTCCTGAATTTATTTATTAAAGCACATATTATGTAATTTATTTAATTTCACAAATACGTAATAAATATTTTTGCTTTCACTATTATTATACATTTAATAAACTACTTATAACGTTGAGTTTATACGTATTATATAAATTAAATGTGTATTATTGCGTCAACTAACTCGATGAAAGCCGAGAGTCAAACGAGATGTAGGAATATTTATTAACATACAAGGAGAAATTATATTACCTAAGTTTCTTCTTTATATCTGGATAATTTAATGAAATCAATAAAAGAAGGCAATTTCGTGAGCAGTGACCAGTATAAGAACAAAATACCCGATGCTTTCTCAAAGACATATAAAAAAGTATACTTTCACTATTATATTACGTTGAACGAACGAGGACTTAAATTTTCATTTCAAAATACGCACAAACGTTGCTATCTCTTTTATCTTTGTTAAATTTCATAAATCTCAAAAGCTTATACAAATAATAAAATCTCTATGTAGTTCAAACTGTTTACGTAACTTAAGGTAATTAGCAAAGCTGAAGTTGAAAAATAAAACTGTCTTACACGAGATTGAACATGAATGGATAATGAACTTTCACTTTTAGCAACTTGAACTTGCGTGTAAGCTCAAGTTTATGTACTCTTTATAAACTTAAACTTAATAGGTATTGAATTTTATATTTCAAGAGTAGCGAAACAACAACAACAACAATCATGCGTCATTACTGGTCCCATTAATTAGACTATTTCAAGCATAATCGCGAATTATTCAATATGGATATAAACGACTGAGAGGAATTTCCTAATAGATCCGACAAGACATGAAAAAAAGTAGCCAAGAGAGTAAGTAGGTAAGAGCGAATACGCTACGCCCGATTCTCCATTGATAGACAACATCATGGCTTGGCAAGTGGAAAAACATTTTCATTGCGGTGTCTCTTGACGACGATAAGAAGTAAAAAAAAAAAAAAAAAAAAAAAAAAAAAAAAAAAGGATAATAAAAGCAGACATAAGAGAGTACGCGCCTTCTGCCCTTGACATAATTTTTAACACGTCATTAAGTGCATTGTCGGTCGGATTACGAAAAGAGACGAACGATGCAAGAACTCGCCGATCGTCGCCAACGCGACCACCACGACCACCACTACCATCATCATATCATCATCCTCCCCGCGACGAAAGAAAAGAGATCCACGCGAATATTTAATTGCTTGGTAATTTTTTCCTTATCGCTATCCCGATGCGGGAGAGGAAGAAGAGAGGGACAAATGGACGCCTCCTTGCCGATGCGATGTTCCCACGCAAAGCGAAAGCTCCACGCATCAATGCACCCGTGTGGTATTCGCCTTTTTTTTTTTATTTTTTTAAGGTTCGAGCAGTCATTCTTCAAGATATTTTAATGCGCAATCGCTGCCCCACCCCGCGTCTTCGCATTGACAATTGATTGTTAATCGAGACTCGGATGATACTGTAAATATACGATAAATGCAACCAACATAAATGCAAATTATAATGCCATATGTATTGCTTGGCGTTTGCTTTCAATGGCATTTACTCAAATCTACTGACTCAGAAATTCGCTCGCATAAACTACTTGTTCCCATTTATTTCTCAAAATCATACCATTTTATGCTTGTTCAATAACAACGGCTTCTCCCTTTCTAAGACCGAATATTTTTTAATAATTTTATATTCGTAATAATTAATTAGGCATTTACATCTATAATGAATGTATACAAGTGTGTTAGTCTATATAATATTGTTATAGAACGCTGTAGATGTACGTTATATATATATATATATATATATATATCAGTAATTGAGAAAACAGAAAAGATTTTTTTAATTTATATTTACGTATTATACAAGTCCTTCAACTAGTTTCTCGTAACTTTTTAGGAATGGCGAAAATTATTTGAATGACCTCAAACTGCCTTTTAAACATAATTTAATTTAAGAAAATTCAGAATTTCCAAAGCATATATCGATAATTTTAATAATTCGTAAATGTCGTCGAATTCGGAAATTAATCATTTTTAAATAGAATAAAGATTATTGACAGAATGAAAAAAAAGAATTGATAATTGACAATATGGTCAAATGTTCCAATCTTTTGCAACTTAATTGTAATAATTGCTTCAATTATTTGAATTCTCTATATTATTATTATTATTATTATTATTATTATTCTATAAAGGTGTGTAAAATTTAAATAAACCATAACAATGAATTGAAAATAAAAGTTATGTTAA